AACACACACACACACACACACACACACACACACACACACACACACACACACACACACACACACGGAGGAAGGTTTGGATTTGTGCTCTCACACAGTATATATGTTGATTGTTCACTTCTAAGCCAAGGCAAGCAGGTGACTTCAGTTACTATAACAAGAAAAGGGTGACCGACCTAACACCTGTTTCAAATCCTATATTTACCCTTTTAATTTTAAACTGCAGATTTTGAATTCTGCACAGCTTCCCAGGTAAGGTATAAAATGAGACCAGATTCACCTTCTACATAATATGACAGACCGAATTAACAACTGTTCACAGTGGAAGCTTACCTGGGATCACTACAGTCAAAAGACAACTGAAAGTAATTTAAATGTGACAGCACAGCTCTCTTCTGGGACTTACCCACTCTTCTGTGCTTACACACTCACTCGTCACTTTGTTAAATATATCTGTTCAACTGTTCATTAATGCAAATATCAAATTAGCCAATCAACTGGCAGCAACTCATTTAGGCATGCTGAGATGGTTAAGACAACCATCAGAAGTTCAACGTGAGCATCTGAATGTGGCAGAACTGTGATTTAAGTGTTCTGTGGGTAAAAACGGCTGGCTGATGTCAGAGGAGAAAAGCCAGAGTACTCTGAGCTAATAAGAAAGCAACAGTAACTGAAATAACCACTCCCCCCCCCAATCAAAGGTATGTAGAAGCATGTCTCACACTTAATATTCACTGATGTGCAGCTGACAAATTAGCAGCAATTGTGTGATGCCATAATGTCAGTGTGGACCAAGATCTCTGATCCCATCGCCTTGTTTAATCTATGGCATCAAATACTGAATCAGTTTTGAAGTCACAAGGGCTTCCATCCCAGTACCATCAAGAGATACTTACACAAGCGGACAATGAGTGTATGTGGAAAGCATAAGATCCAGAGAGCAGCAGTCAATGACAACAGATATGTATGTCAGCAATGAATGAAGTCAGGCGCTGGGGGTGAAGGTGGGTTGCAAAGCAGCTTGCAGATGTTAAATAGCTTTTAAAGTAGAAGTTACATTCTCTCAAATATGGTGATGCAGAGCTTTGTGTTATGTACTTTCACCACATCTTATGTACTCACAGGCACGCCCACACACACCCAGATGCATTGGGAACAATTAGTATCTCTCCTGGTAGCACAGACATGCAAACTTAAGGACTCGACCCTTACATAACCTGCTCTACATCCCGAACCACCACCAACCTATATGAGGCAACTGACTGCATTACTAGCTGCAAAGTCAACTGAGCTCAACTTTGCAGCCTGCATGAACTAACGCTGCACGCTCAGTTTTATTGCTGGTAATTTAGAAGCTTGATCCAGACAGCTGTGATCTATGATACAGAGAAGAGTTAACAGGTGAATGATTTCAGTGTTTGGCTTCATTATGACTGATTCAGACCTCAAGTAGTACTCAGTCTCAGTTTGGCTGTGATGTGCCTGCAGAGCTCTTCAGCACCTTACTAGGATTAGCCTGATCAGTAAAAGAGCAAAGAGGTGAAAAGATCAAAGTAAAATCTCTTCCTTCAGCAGTGGTATGAATGAAACATGGCTTTCTCCCATTTTCCACTAGCAGAGAGACAGAAAACACCAAAGGATGGAAAGATGGAGAGAAAAGAATGATAGAAGGAAAAGGTGGAAGAAAGCGAGCCCATGGAAGGTTGCTCCCTCCTTAACTTCCTTGTCTGCCTGTCACTCACACACTTAAACCGTCCCAGTTCTCACGGTGTCTCAGTTGTGCATTGATGTAATTACAGAAAAACGGAGCAAACCTGGATTCATGGCCAATGAAAGTGCAGCACAGCCATGTCTCTGAGGATTTCAGTCTTCTCTGGAGGCTTTCCAGATCTACAATAATCTACACTGATGGCAAATTAGTCCCTGTGGGATCCTCAGCGCTGCAACAGCATCAGAATATCTTCGGGATTAAAAATAACTCATGATGTCATGGTTGACGGCAGTAAAAGAAGTTTCATCAGGAAGAGG